TTTCTGGCTCTTTGTTAAGTGGGATTATCTATTGCCTTTGTTTTTTTGAATGTAGTTGCTTCCTTGAGTTGGAATTTTCCTTTCAGTAGTTTATGTAGGGTTGGATTTGTGGATATGTATTGTTTAAATATGGTTTTGTCATGGAATATCTTGTTTTCTCCATCTACAGTGACTGAAAGATTTGCTGCGTATAGTAATCTGGGCTGGTATCTGTGGTTGCTTAGTGTTTGTAGAACATCTATCCAGGACCTTCTGGATTTCAGAGTTTCTGTTGTGAAGTCAGATGTAATTCTGATATTCTGATAGTTCTGCTTTTATATGTTACTTGACCTTGTTTTTTTTTTTTTTTTTTTTTTTTCCAGTCTATTTGGTGTTTGGTAAGCTTCTTGTGCTTTCATAGGCCTGTTCTTCTTTAGGTTGGGAAAATTTTCTTCTATGATTTTGTTGAATATGCTTTCTGCACTCTTGAGCTGGGTTTCTTCACCTTCTTCTATTCCTTTTATTCTTAGGTTTGGTCTTTTCATGGTGTCCCATATTTCCTGGATATTTTGTTGCATTTACAATTTTTCTTTGGCCAAAATCTATTTTCTGTAGTTTGCCTTCAACTCCTGTGATTTTCTCTTCCTTCCCTTGTATTCTGTTGGTTATGCTTGCATCTATCTGTAGTTCCTGATTTTCTATTTCCAGCATTCCCTCAGTTTGTGTTTTCTTTATTGTTTCTATTTCATTTCTCAGTTCTTGAACTGTATGAATTGTTTCCTTCATCTGTTTTTTTTTTTTTTTTTTTTTTTTCTGGACTTTCCTTGCTTTCTTTAACAGATTTGTTGATGTCTTGTGTTTTTTTTGGTTTGTTTTTTCCTCTATTCTAATTTTTTGTTTGTTTTTCCTTCCATGTCTGTAAGGTATTTTCTCATTTCCTCTTTGAGGGCCTCTATCATTTTCATGAAGTTGTTTTTAAAGTCCTTCTCTTGTGCTTTGTCCGCATTGGGATGTTCAGGTCTTGCTGGTGTGGGCTCTCTAGCCTCTAGTGATGTCATACTCATCTTCCCGTTGTTGATTGTGTCCTTATACTGCTGTCTTCCCATCCCTTCTTCAGTGGGTACAGCTGGGGTCTCTCCCTCTCTTGGTGGGTACCGGTCCAAGATAGGAATGGCAGCAGATGCTGGATGCTTTTGTCTGCTTCCAGGTCCCTCTGGGGGATTTGGTGGTGGGAGGGGTCTCCTAAACTGGTCTTGAACTGGCCAGTCCCCTGTCTCCACTTTACCAGATACCGAGGCTGCAGGTGTGAGTGCTTAGATTTAATGCCTACAGTGAATGAAATCACAGAGCACTCTGTATTCATTCCATAGGGTCAATATGCACAGCTTGGGAATAGATGGTCTTTGGGGCAGGACTTGGAGCACCCAGGCCAGATATGGCAGCAGGAGGTATTTTAAAGTATTGGTGTTCTTCAGGGACTTCCGCTTAGCCAAGCAAGATGAGCCTCATAGGGTCTGCATCTGTTGTTTTAAAGAGCTTCTCTCTCTCCACTGTAGGCAGTTTTCTGTCTAGACTACTCCAATCAGCCCTGTCCCACCAGCTACTCCCAAATAACCACACAGAGACTTACTGTTCATTATAAATGCACGGCTGATAGCCTAGGCTGGTTTGTAGCTAGCTCTTTAACTTAAATTAACCCATTTCTATTAGTCTCATTTACCTCATGCATGTGCTTTCCATCCTGCTTGCTCTGCATATCATGGCGTCTCCTCTGACTCTGCTTCTCCTGTCTAACCTTATCCTGCTCTCTACTGCTATCCACCTAGGGGCAGAAAGGTGAGCAGGGTCCTGTTTACTTCCCCTTCCATCACCACCTTGGCTACCTGGTTCTTGATCCACGAGTCTCCCACAGGAGCCCTCGTGTCTTTCCTGATAGAACATCCACCTCTCAGTGCCCTCCAGGATCGGGCTGCCTCCCGCCAGTCAGTGCCCAGCACTGACCACTCTCATGGTCTTGCCTAATAAACTTCAGTAGCTGTCCCAAACCCTGCAGAGCTTTCTGGGTTGCCTTAGAGTCCTGTACTTTCAGTGCCCACAAATCAGAGCAGCGTGTTTTTCTTTCTTTGTCTTTGAGAACTAATTAAGTTGTTAACCCATATGAGACTCGGGGCATCTGTGAACTTGGTGTGAGGCATCTCCAGCCCTGTTCCTAGTCCCAGGGAGTTGGTGGACCCATCTTGTTTTGCTATTAATGCTGGATTATGGAACTTCCTCCCTTACCTAGGAAACAGTGCTCCCCTGGTGTAGGTTTAGAGTCCTTCCCAAAGCCGAGAGAGACCCCAGACTGTAAGGAGTAAAGTTATTTCCTCCCGCCACTGGTCTTGTCCCGCCGCTGCGCCAGCCCCAAATAACATGCCAAGACTCTGTATTTGATATAATGCTGTTGGCCCGTTACTAGTTTCTTATCGGCTAGCTCTGTCTTAAGTATTAACCCATTTCTATTAATCTCCACATGGTCTTATCTTACCTGAGAGAGAGGCCTCGGGCGTTCTGCTCTCTCTGTCTTCCATCTTGACTCCTTTTCACTACTTCCTCTTTCCTCCTTGTCTCCTAGTCCCGCCTATCTTGCTTTCCTATTGGCCAACAGTGCTCTATTCATTAACCAGTATGAGAAACATATTTTCAGAATGACATCTCCCATCACCAGACTGTGCGTCTGTCTTTTCCACAGGACAGCCGGCACGAAGCAAACCCCGTCACATCTGTCACCTGCTTTCTTGCTATCTTAATCCCTCCATTTCTTTTTCCTCTCACTTTGCTTTGACCTCTCTTCTCATCAGAATTGGTGACAAACCACACCCTGCTCTGGTTATTTATGTCTGTCCCAAGTTGGTAACAGCCCGACCCATACCAGAAACACCCTGTCAGATGAGGGGAGGGAGATGGTGCGGTTCTCAAGGAGTCTTGGACAGCTTGTGTTCCATTCTGCACATGAAGATACTGGCTAAGAGTGTTTGGTCACTGCTCGGTTCGGGTGGTGTCCGTGGTCTCCTCAGTGCTTTTGTCCTGACAGGTGCCCCCTGATCCAGCCATGTCTCTGTCATGCCCGCAGTGATCCAGTTTGGGGTACAATGATTTCTTTGGTTGTAGTGGGCACTACAACAGGTGCTTCCTAAGGGCCACATGAGTTGACGCCACTGTTTATTTTCTCAGCTTTATTCACCACCAGAGAAATGCTACAGCCTCCATGTTCCAGGCTCTCACTTTTCAGACTCAGTGTGACAGTGCCTGCAGGATCCACGGGTTCTACAGCAATGTAGTACTGAGTGGGTGGGCTCTGGAGGGGACAGCTTCCTGTGCTGGCACATATGCTGTGCCTTTCTCTGCCCTCTTGACGCCTGTAAGGCAAGGCTCATAAGCAAAGAGTCACCAGCCTCCATCAGCAGGCAGCCTCAGCTTCTCCCTCAAACCCCTCTTCCCAGGTATTCTAGCCTTCCATACCCCACTCTCACTGGAAGATGACAGCTTGGACTGACTTCTCGTCTCTCTCTTTGCTGTCAGCCCACCGGCAGCAGGCGAGCATCTCACACTTGGTACCGTGTTTCCGCACTCTCAAAGGAAGGCTAGAGGGTTAGAGAGGTAGACACACACGCTGCCTCCCTCAACTTACAGCTCTCCCAGCTGTGCTTGCAGCCAGCTGGGCATCCTAATGAAACAGCTGTGTGACCTAGAGACATAGCCTTGCACTCCCTTGGAGAAGGAGCTACTTATCATTTTTGTGGAAGAATTTGATGATAAACCCTGGTGTACTGAGTGTGCAGGCAATTGTATTTGTATTTGTTCTCCATCGGTCACATGTTCAAGGCCAGCCTGGACTATAGGATCATGTGTCAAACCAAACAAGTCAATCAATGAGCTGCATCATTAAACGTGGCCACATCTGTAATGTTACAAGCAGGGTTTGTGTGGGAATGTCTTGCTGTGGCCAGTAGTAATGGTGGTGATAACATGAGCAGCAGGTGAAATAATCTAGAAGCGCTAAGTTTTATAGGACAGTCGTGTGTTCAAGGTGCTGTGTAGTCCTCACAATGGCCTCTGTGATGCTCATCCTACAGACGAAGAAACTGAGGTTGCAAGGAGACGAATTTCTTCATCCAAGATCACACAGCTAGAGATTAGAACTCACATCTGCTTCTAGAGTGGGCACCTTAATCAACATGCTGCATCCCTGCTTCTCTTTGACAGAACCACAGCGGCTCGTGCTGCAAGGGATGCTTGTTCCGTTGCCCCCGACTTCCGTTTCACTCTAGTCTCTCAGGACTAGAAGCATACATTTGGAAATGACGTTGATATGTGTTCCTATTAGTAGATGGGACACTGAAAGGGGAGAAGGGTATGGAAAATCATTTGTGTGTAGTGTATGCATGTGTATGTGTGTGCATGCGTGTATGCATATGCACACAGGAGGGCATGCCTGTGTGTGCATGTGCAGAGACTATTATCACTCTCCACCCTAGTTTTTGGAGACCAGCTCATGCAATGAACCTGCAGCTGACTGTTTTGGCTAGGCCATGTGGCCAGTGAGCTCCAGGGATCTTCCTGTCTCCACCCTCCTCAATGCTGGAGTTACAGGCATGTGCAAGCATGTCTGGCCTTTTCTGTAGATGCTGATGTCTGAACTCAGACCTCATGCTTGTGCAGTGAGCACTTTTCCCACTGAGCATTTCGCAGGCACACGGAAGTGAGGGTTCCCAGAGCCAGAAAGAAAAAAGTCCAACTCACTACCTGACCCACCTTCACATTGCTGCGGATGGGGATGGGGGAGGGGGGTAGAATTCTGTGCCACCAGACTTATCTTTAAAGGTCATCTTAATTCTAGAGCGACCATGCTCCTACAAGGTCAGGATGGTACGGTAACATTTTATCTTCCGTCTTGGGAAGTCAGCTCAAATCAGACCAAAATATCAGTGTTTGGTGTGTCAGTGCCCATTGTCCATTCTTTCTGGTTTGCCTTTTGACAGGATATAATCAGAGATCCATTCAAGCTTGCAGAGGAATCTGACAAAGTGAAGCCCAGACATGCACCTGGTGGCGCTGGAGGTTGCTGTGGCAAAAAGAAAAGCTGTTAGATCGACGGCCAGCGTGGAGCTCACTGTGTGTGCAGAGATTACAGGAAGAGGGCAAAGGCACCACAATCTAGATTACTGCAAAGAGTAAGAATGAGTTTTAGGTGTTAATCTAAAGTTCACAGCAAAGTGCCAGTTTTTCTATTTCTCTTTCAGTGCTTTGGTGCCACCTGGTGGTCAGAAGTAGAACTTGGAAGCAAAGGATCAAAGGGGAGGGTGGTGGGATAACATGGTCCTTCTGGCCTACCACAGGACACCCCTGGACTGCTCTGTGTTTACCCAGGAAGCAGAGTCCCTACTAAATTTACACTGACTATGTCAAAAGATTGTCAGTCAGATTTGGCAGGAGTAGTCTTCAGGTCCCTGTCTTCAAATCTTTTCTTTCTGTAATTGAATAAATAAGACAAATGAATAATAAATTTCACCCTTATAATTGACACCACAATGATTATCCTAGTCTGTCTTAACTGGTGGCTTTTGTCTTTTGGAAAGCCAAGAGATACAAATAGGATTCCTCCCCCTTTATAAGACAATCTGATTAAACTTTTAGGGAAATACTGGGTTTGCTTCTAGGTCCCATATTAAAGACGTTAGGAACATTAAAGGAAGGGACAATAAGTTGAAGGGACACAGAAATCTTGGTCCTTATCATCAGGAACTGATAACCCAAACTGGTGATATAGTTCAGTTGGTATAATATTTGTCAGGTATGCGTGGAGCTCTGGTACCAGGTAAAACTGGGTAAGACAGCACACACCTCAGGTCCCAGCACTCAGGAGGCAGAGGCAGGAGGATCAGAAGCTTGAGGTCTTCCCTCCTCAGCTACAGAGTTTAAGGTCAGCCTGGAATACTCGGTCTCAAAAACAAATAGCAACCTTCAACAATGGAAGGATTTGATAAGAAAATCTTGTTTGTTCTGAGCTCCAGGCCAAAGGTGTTTGGGCCTCAGGTGGAATGTTGTCAGCATGGGCTGAGAGGTTTTCAATGAGGAGTGTGAGAATGTTTAGGCCTATAGTAGACTGGGATGAATTCTAAGGGCAGACTCATCTTTTCAAAGAGATCTCGCTGGGCAGGGGCGTCACCTGCCTTTAATCCCGGCACTTGGGAGGCAGAGGCAGGCGGATCTCTGTGAGTTCAAAGAAGGTCTGGCTAAGTTTCAGACTTCTGAGTGGGTTTCAGCTCTCATCCCTGACTTTGACAGTTTTTTCCAGCCCTGTTTGTCTCGGTAACCTTGATTGGCTCTAGAGTTCCCCGTGTGCACAGTTGTAACCTACTGCCTCAGGGTAAGACTGGTGTGGCTGACAACTGCGAGCTCCCTGACAGCAGGGTGGGCCTTCCAGAGGGACCCGATAAAGAGAAAAGGCCCGTTAGACTTCCTTTCGTTTCCCTATTTTTACATACACGAACACATTTGTTGCAGGCTAGAGATCTGTAAAAACTTAGCGCCTACTGGTCTTTCCATCTCTTCAGTTCCCTGGTGGCAGACATGACGGTGACGGCATAAGCAGGGTTACAGGTCTGAGTGCCACCGTTGTTATGTGGGAACCACGGAGCCCAGTGCCCACTGTCCATCTCTTCATCTTGGTCTTGCTACAGAAGGAGCCTGTGTATTTGGCATGCTGGCTGATCTCAATTTTCTTCATCCGTTTCTGAGGGGGGGCTACAGTGCTCTAGTATTTACTGAAGATCTCAGCTTTCTTGGTGCATTTAACCCCGTCACCGTGGCTGGGGCCGGAGCCCAGAGAGGTATCAGGTTTTCTAAACTAGGGAGGCGGAGAGAGTAACCTTTCAGTGCCATTCTTAAGTACTTTAAAGAATTTATGTGTCTGTGTGAATGTTTGCTGTGTGTGTGTCCAAAGATGATGTCAGGTTCCCCGGGCCAGAGCTGCAGGCTGTGGGGGTTGGGACCCACCAGTTGTGGGTGCTGGGAACCAAACTCAAGCCAAACTTTCCAAGAGCATCAAGTGCTCTTACCTGCAGAACCATCTTTCCAGCTCATAATTCTTAATTCAAAAAGATATTTGTTTATCTTTGTTTATTTGTATGTACATACAACACCCTCACATCCAGTAGAGAAAGCTTTGGTTGAACTCTGTGTGTGTATAGGTCAGAGGTCTACCTTGGGTATAATTCTTCAGGCCCTGTCCACCTTCAGCTTTGTTTTTTGAGACAGGGTCTTTAATGGTTTGGTGCTTGCTGAGTAAGCTAGGCTGGCTCCTGGGTTCTGCCTCTCTTCACCTCAGTCCTGGGATTGTAAGTAAAGACACCATGCCAGGCATATATATATATATGCACATAAAATTTATTTACTCTATCTGGGTACCAGAGATCCCATTCAGGCCTCACGTTTGTGTGGCAAACATTCTCTCTACTCACCGAGTGATCTCCCTAGTTCCCAGGCTGAACTCATTTGCAAAAGTGAAACTGGAATTATACAATCCTAATGATAACCCGTGACATATCTTTAATTCATTACAAGCAGCAGCTGAGCAGGCCTGTGGAGCATGGCAGGGAGGCTCATGGGAGGGAAGCAGAGGGCCGGGGCTGCTTATGGTAATTTGACATATCACTCAGAATCTAACTGTGTCAGATGAAGTGTCCTGGGCAGTTTAGCCTCTGTCCCCAGAGTTAACAAGCTTCTCCCATATAGCTTCCTTTGTGAATGTTAAATGAGCTTCCTTTAGAATGCAACCCCTCAAATGTCAAGTGCTGGAGAGGGAAGGCTTGCACAGCAAGTGCAGGATGACTGCTGTGGCTTCTGGGCCTGGCCGTTCATCTTTTATTAACCGTCCTTACTTTCTTTTTATCAATTAACCTTATTATTCCTTTCAACTGGATCTACCTGCGGAAGCACCAGATCTTAGATATCTTTATTTTTCCTTTTAAATAATGTAGCAGAGACTCACGGAGTCAGCACCGCCCTGTAAAAGTGGCACGTTCCCTGGAAGTTGGTGGGGGGGGGCTCTTCGTTCTGCATGGGTCCAGCCATGCGGCATAGCCAGGGCATGTCTTCACAGAGAGCCAGCTCCCTTACATCCCCTGCCCAGGGCTGCTTTCTCAAGTTTCACGGAAGGAAAAGCTGAGGCTGTGTATTCAGAAATTACCCGAATGGTGGGACTCTATACACAGAGAAACCCTGTCTCAGGGAGGCAGGGGATGAAGCTCAGTGCATTACCATTTATTTACTTATTTGTTTTTTGAGGCAGGGTTTCCCTGTAGAGCCCTGGCTGTCCTGGAACTCACTGTAGACCAGGCTGGCCTCAATCTCAGAGATCCTCCTGCTTCTGTCTCCCGAGTGCTGGGATTAAAGGTGTGTGCCACCACTGCCTGGATGTTTGGGTGATTTTTCAACTTTTTTATATGTATGGGTGTTTCTCAGTGTGTATGCAGAAACACCATGTGTGCCTGGTGTCTGTGGAAGTCAGAAGAGGGCATGGGATCCTCTGGGGCTGGAGTTACTGAGGGCTGTGAGCCCTCACGTAGGTGCTGGGAGCCAAACCTGAGTTCTTTGCAAGATCAGTAAGTGCTCCAAACCCCTGAGCCATCTCTCCAACCCTCTGTTTTGTTTCTTGAGATAGGCTCAGTTTCCCAGGTGTAGGGATTATGGATGTGTGGTATGATACCTCATCTTAAACATTTTAATGAGTTGAACAGACTATATGAGGGAGTCTGGCCTGTGATCAGGAGTCCAGGCCAACCTGGGAAACTGCAGAGTTGCTCTGAAATTCCTAATTCCCATTGAGACCCTGGGGACGGCAGCTTGTGATCAGGTATGGACCTCCTAAATGGAAGTTGTGGTGTTCCATCCTAGTCTTTTGGAGACTCCTGTGGCATGTGATACTGATCTTTGTTCCTGTCCTCTCTGTGGCTGGAGAAGGGCGTATCTTAACTGTAAGGGGCAGTTAAGGTAATGAAGCTTTGTACTAGATGTGATGCTGGCCCCTTAAGGTTACAATAGAGGTAGGCTAGAGAGACGCTGAGCACCAGAGCACACGATTCTCCTCCAGAGGATCTGGTTTGGTTCCCAGCACCCATATCAGGTGGCTCACAAATGCCAGTATCTCCATCTCCTGGTGATCAGATGGCCTCTGGCCTCTGAGGGCACCAGAAAGTACATGATGCACACAAACTACATGGGCACACATACACACACACATCAAAAAAGATTGGAATGTGGAGCTGAAAAGTTCCCATTGCTTAGTAACATGTAATGTCAAATGTCATAGGACAGCATATGGCTTATACGATTGTGATGCTGCTCGAGTAAGCAAAGATACTGCTACTCACGGGACAGTAGCGTGTAGACAGTTCCATGTAGTACATGATGCCTGATAATGAGAATAAATAACTATGCTCCTGGCTTTATTGATTCTCATATACATACATACAAACATACATACATACATACATATGAATGTAAGTATGAAGCAGGCTCTCAGGCTGGTATAGAGCTTACCATTCTCCTGCCTTAGTGTCTTGGGTACCACCATGCTTAGCATTTTGCTGTACGTTTTGTTGTTATTTTAAAGTGTATTCCTTCCACTTATTTTTTTTAAGCTCACTGGAAGCCAGTATGTTCTGCGAGTCAGTCTGGTGAACCTCACATCTCAAGGTCACCACAAGAGGCCACATGGAGTGATGAACTTGTACCATCTAGGTCGGTTTAAGTGCACTTGACATTTACATAGTGACAGAATTGCCCGTGGCTCTTTAGTCAGGATGCATCCACACCCATAAGTGACACATGACTATGTGAGAAAGCACTTTATAAACTGTGTGGATGTTTTCTGCTCAGTGTCAGGAGCTCCTCACATTTGGACCAGGCAGATGCTCAGTCAGTAAAGTGCTCTCACACAAGCATGAGGACCTGAGTTCGGATCCCCGGCACCCATGCTAAAGCCTGGTGTGGTGGAGCTTAACCCCAGTGCTGGGCACACAGAGACAGCTGGCTTCTTGGAGCTCACTGACCAGGCAACCTTGCTGAATTAATGAAACAGGCTCACCGTTTGACCCAATGTTGACCTCTGGCCTTTAAATGCACACATTCTCTCTACTTGCATGTGCATACCCCCATATAAATATGCTCATCAAATGCATGTACATAGACACACACAGGGGCAAACAAACAAAAAGTGAGTTCCCTAATTTCCTAAACCACCAGGGCCTTGACATCACTGTCTTGGTACCTGCCAGGCCAATCTTCTATAAAACAGTGCTTTGGCTGAGAATGTCTCATGACTACTGACTCCTAGACAGTAAAACCTCATCTCCAAAACTGGTATTCAACCCATCACAGGCCAGCCCCTACCCCTCCCAAAGAGCCCAGTGGTCCTCTTCATGGGCTATGGAACTGACTTCCCAACCACACAGTTCTAAAGTTAGTGTCTCCACAAGCCTCACCCCTGCTTTCCCATTGGTTAATATGGCTTTTCATCTT